TATATATATATATATATATCACTTTAATTTTTTTAATTAAAATTAATTTCATAAAAATATTAATATTTGAAAATTAATTTTTTTAATTAAAATTAATTTCATAAAAAAATTAATATTTGAAAATTAAAATGCAAAAAAAAATATATATATATATATATATAAATTTATTTATTTTTTAAAGATGATATATTCAATGTATGTTAAAAAAGTTCAAGCCAAACTGTTTTTATAGAAGATTTTCAAAACTGCTTGGTTTAATTAATCTGTTAAAAGATTCTTTTAATATGTTAAAAGTGCAGTTTTAATCTGTTAAAACTTCTTTTAATCCATTAATACGTTCTTGATTCTTTAATGATTTGTTTTAACCGATACGACAACGTTTATATCAATTAAAACACTTTACAAAAAATCTTCTAAGTTGATTTAATCGATTGTTCGCGATTCAATCGATTGAAATACTCGCAAAACTTTCTCCTAAAACTTTTCAAGTTATTTTAACTGATAAAAATAAGTTTTAATCGATTAAAACGCTGTCAGAAACTGTTTTAATCGATTGAAACGAGAATTAATCGATTAAAATAGTTATGATCGGTCATAAATGCATTCGACCGATCATAATTGAAACCATATAATAGCGGTTCAAGGGTTAACCGCTATCTAAGTCATATTTTAAGAGCGGTTCTCGTGTAACCGCTATCTAAACCTAATCTCGCTTGAGCGACAATATTCTCGCTCGAGCGAAACGCCCTCGCACAAAATTAGTACTCTCGGGTTGTATTTCGCTTGAGCGAGCCTATCTCGCTCGAGCGATAGTTGATTCTGACCGATTATATTTTCGAAATGATCGATCATATTTGATAATTTTTTCAAATATTTAATTATAATCGATTAGTTTTCTAAATTATTGATTAGAATTTATTAGTTTTTCAAATAATAGATTAGAATTGATTAATTTCTGAAATATATACTAAAAAAATATAATTAAAACTATAAATTAGTTAAGAATATTGACTATTGTAAAGATAAAGTAGAAACATGAGAGGAGATGAGGATGATAATATAATGATAGAACTTACAAAAATGTAGAATTGAGAAGTTTGAAACAAATAAAAATAAGAAAATAGATATTTAATTACACTTTTAATAAATTTAAGATAATACTAGTTTTAATTTTTATTTTTAAATATTTATTTTAAATATTTAAAACAGAGAAACTATAATTTTAGTTTCTAGCTACTGAATTTAAAGAATTAAATTTATTATTTAATCTTTTAATTTGTAGAATTAAACTCAATATAATTGTTAAAAATACTTTGTAGAGGCATTTGAGAAAGCTTTTGTCAAAATACTTTGTTTTTAATTGTTAAAAACATTTGTAGAGGCATGTTGCAAAACATAATTGAGATGATATGATATCTAAAGTATAATTAAGATAGCGGTTAATGGTTAACTGCTATTAGAAGTTCACTTTTAATAGCGGTTCCTGTGAAAACCGCTATCTAAAACGTATTTCGCTTGAGCGACAATATTATCGCTCGAGCGAAACTCCAAGTGCACAGAATTCGCATTCTGAGGGTGTATTTCGCTTGAGCGACACTACTCTCGCTCAAGCGAAATACGATCCTGATCGATCATAACTTGAAATGACCGATCATAATTGAGAGGATATAATAGCGGTTCCCTCATAACCGCTATCTAAAGTGCTTGAGGTGTATTTCGCTTGAGCGAGACCTCTCGCTCAAGCGAAGTACGATTCTCGATCGATTATATTTTCAAAATGACCGATCATATTTGATAATTTTTTCAAATAATTAATTATAATCGATTAGTTTTCTAAATTATTGATTAGAATTTATTAGTTTTTCAAATAATAGATTAGAATTGATTAATTTCAGAAAATATATACTAAAAAATTATAATTAAAACTATAAATTAGTTAAGAATATTGATTATTGTAAAGATAAAGTAGAACATGGGAGGAGATGAGAATGATAATATAATGATAGAACTTACAAAAATGTAGAATTGAGAAGTTTGAAACAAATAAAATTAAGAAAATAGAGATTTAATTACACTTTTAATAAATTTAAGATAATACTAGTTTTGATTTTTATTTTTAAATATTTATTTTAATTATTTCAAACAGAGAAACTATAATTTTAGTTTCTAGCTACTGAATTTAAAGAATTAAATTTATTATTATTTAATCTTTTAATTTTAGTATTAAAATTTTAAATTATATTTTTCTACTTTGAGAATGAACCATATAATTAAACTCAAAATTGACAATATTATAATACATTTTTGAACTCTTTTGGATTAATTTTTTTTCCTAATTTTTGATAAAGTTAATTTTAATATTTAAAAGTATTTAACATTTTGAATTCTGAAAGGTTTTCTCTAATAGAAAATTTAAAAACATAATATAAAAAAAATAGTTAATATAAGTTTTCAAGTTATTTTAAGCTGATAAAAATAAGTTTTAATCGATTAAAACGTCTGTGCAGAAATTGTTTTAATCGATTGAAACTAGATTTTAATCGATTAAAACAGTTATGATCGGTCATAATTGCATTCGACCGATCATAATGGAAACCATATAATAGCGGTTCAACGGTTAACCACTATCTAAGTGAGCTTTTAAGAGCGGTTCTGTGTAACCGCTATCTAAATCAGTATCTCGCTTGAGCGACAACTTTCTCGCTCGAGCGAAACGCCCTGCACAAAATTGGTACTCTCATGTTGTATTTCGCTTGAGCGAGTCTAGTCTCGCTCGAGCGATAATTGATTCTGATCGATTATATTTTTGAAATGATCGATCATATTTGATAATTTTTTCAAATAATTAATTATAATCGATTAGTTTTCTAAATTATTGATTAGAATTGATTAGTTTTTCAAATAATAGATTAGAATTGATTAATTTCTGAAATATATACTAAAAAATTATAATTAAAACTATAAATTAGTTAAGAATATTGACTATTGTAAAGATAAAGTAGAACATGGGAGGAGATGAGGATGATATAATATAATGATAGAACTTACAAAAATGTAGAATTGAGAAGTTTAAAAAAAAATTAAGAAAATAGAGATTTAATTATACTTTTAATAAATTTAAGATAATACTAGTTTTTAAACCTTTTTCTAATATTTGTTTTTAAAAATATAATATCATTTTTAATATTTTATAGATTTTATATTTATATATTTATAAAAGTAATTGGATTAAATTTATTATCCTCTCATATATTATTATACATTTAGCGTAATTTTAGTTTATTTAAAAATTAGAATACAAATATACTATACCAATATACCATTATATTATTTTCATTGTATATAAATTACAAAATTAATAATTTGTATACTATACTATACTAACATATTATTTGTATACTATACTAATAGTATAATATACTATATTATAATATTATTTGTATACAAAACTAATATCTTTATATATAAATATATAAATATGGAAAGATATAAATATATGTAAAAATATAAACATATAAATATATATAAATATGTAAAGATATAAACATATATCTTTAATATTTTGTAAATGTAAATATAATTTATATATATTTTTAAATCTTTTTCTAACATTTATTTTTAAAAATATAATATTATTTTTAAAATTTAATATTTTTTTCAAATATATAAATATATAAAGATATAAATGTATAAGGATATAAATAAATATATAAATATATCAATATATAAATATATGAAAATATAAATATATAAATATATAAAAATATTAATATATAAATATATCAATATATAAATATATAAATATATATAAATATATATATATATATATATATATATATATATATATATATATATATATATATATATATATATATATATATATATATACAAATATATCAATATTATCCCCTCATATATTAATATACATTATTAGCATAATTTTAATTTAATTAAAAATTAGAATACAAATATACTATACTATACTAATATACAATTATTTGTAGATTTTATATATTAAAATATATAAATATATTTTTATTTATAGATTTTATATTTATATATTTATACGAATATACATTTATTTGTATATAAATATAATTTATTTGTAAGTTATTATTAAAAGATCCTAAGTAGTTCGATGGTTGGAGTTTCATCCTCCAACTCTAAGGTACCGGGTTCGAATCCCGACAATGACAATAAACCACCTAATAATAAGTTAAACTTCTAAAAAATATAATAAAATTAAGAGATAGGGGAAATAAATATAAATAAAAACTTAAATAAGCAAAATATAATATAATTAAGAGATAGGGAAAATAAATAATAGATATAATAAAAGTGTAAATAAATAAAAAGAATTTTAGTGACCAGATTCGATGACTAGATTTGGTTATATATAATCGGTCACTTCGAATCGAGTCACTAAAATCGATGACCAGGAAATAGTGACCGATTCCAGTTGGTCACTATTTCAGTCACTATTTTAATTAGTAGCCGATTTTGCAGATTTAGTGACCGAATTTTCGATCACTATTTGATGTTTTTCTTGTAGTGTATTAGCAATTACATTTTTAAGAAAAAAAAGAAAAAAAAAGAAAAAGAAATTAGGTCCTTTTATTAGCTTTTGAGAAACAAATAAAGGAAAATAGAAAGGTGGGAAAAAGAAAAAAAAGAAGATAATTTAAATAAAATAGATATTTTAGTTTCTAGTATTTCATACTTTAGGAAAAAAGAAAAGGACCATATTTTTATTTTTGGGCCCATTTGTTTTTCACCCAGGTTCCGCATGTTTAACCTAATGGTTGGCTTTGAAAAGGGGAACAATAACTAGTAGTAAGAAATTTGGACACAGAGGTCACGCATATTAAGGTAGTTCCTCTTTATCATGTTTCGTTTTTTTTTTCTCCAGTCTTCCGCCCTATGCCTCCAACCCCTCACTCTCTTAATCCTTCCCTAGACCAGCCTTCACCCAGTACCAATCATCTCTATTTTCCCTCCATCTAACTATCACCCCAGCTTAACTGGCCAACCATATGGACCCAGCCGCGGCTATCGCAAATCCAACCCCCACCTTCACTCACCCACAAACTCGCCCCACCTATCACCTTATTCTCCCTCGCGACCATTTTCCATTTTCTTTGCATCTCACTTTCCTCCATGGTCTCCACCGCGCTGAGCCCCAATCCTAACCTCCACTCCTAGCCTCCACCACCGTGCTCGCCTTGACCATCGTCACCGCCAAACCCACCATGAGTCATGCACGCAGTTGCACCTCGCCACCTCCATCAAGCCTCCGTAAGTGACCTAGACCACCTCTGCGGACCCCTGTTTCATCGCGCCAATCCACCTCCCTTGTTGAGCCGCACCACTCCAAGCCTAGCCTTCTCCTTCACCCTCAACTCCGGCCATCACACAACCACTGCCTCCCTAGCCACCACCGTGGCCATCCCAGCCAAACCTTGAATCACCACGTCCGCCCTGGCCATCGCACTACGCCAGTAACACCGCGAGGTGCCTCGTTGCGGTCCCAAATTGCCATGCTAGCGACCACCACGAGCCCTCCTTTTTGGCCACTGCGTCGTGCCCCCATCTTCACCGCGCCACACGACACTCACCAACCTCTATTCTCCTTCGTGCCGCAATTGTTGGGGCCTCTACGCATGGGTGGTGGACGATAATGCACTGCCGTGAGACCTCTACCCATAAATAGGTATTATGATTTATTTTTAGTTTATTATTTAAAGATGTAACAGCTCATTTAGAATTACATCAGGAGTGTTGTTTTGTTTTCCTAAGCTCGATGCTTCCCTTTTTCTTATCTTTTATTATTATTAATATTTTTTTATATTTTGTTTGCTTATGTTGTTGATTTGGATCGATGGGTTGTGGTAAGACGATATGCATGTTTGGGTCATGCTGGTCTTTGGATAGGGACAATTGTTAATTTGTCCATTTTTGCGAGTATTTGGCTTTGAGTACGATGCTTCCAGATGCATTTTATCCGGTATAAGAGGCCTTGGGTGGGAAAGTTTTGAGAGTCACGATTTAAGGTTTATTTTTATGGTTTTCTTTCATTCTCACGACTTTTGGCCCTTTCATTATCCGATTTATTTATTCGACTTTAGTGGCTATTAATGGTTGTTGCCCCACGTTTCAATCTAGGGTTGTCAGCCTATGCGATATAGGCTATTTGGACATCCATTTTTTCTAAGATTAAATTTTAATTCGGATCGTTACGTCTTTTTTTTCTAAAATTAATATTAAGGTACGGGTACGTCGTTCATGTTGTTATTTCCTCTTTTAAATAAACTTTGAGGTATGAATTTGATCGCTCATATCATCATATCCTCTTTTTTAAATCAATTTTAAGGTACGAATATGGTAGTTCGTTCTGTCATTTCTTCTGTTTTAAATAAACTTTTAAGCATGGGTATGGTCACACAAGTCATCATATGCTTCGAAAGCAACAAAAATAATAAGATAAATTCCTTTAAAAACATTAAAATTATAAAACCCTTTTCGAAAATACTAAAAATTCTTAAAACATTAATTAGCATACCAACTTTTTTGCGCAAAGAACTACGTAATCATGATTTCTCATTTTGAGTGAGAATACGTAAGAGCAAGGTCAATCCTTGTCAGGCCCCGAAAAATTAAAAAATATTTTTGCCATTTTTTTTTCTTTTTCTTTCTATGTTTTTTTATTTTGGGAGAAATAAATATTTTTTAAAATGACATTCAATTTTGCACATTCAACTAAGGGTAACCGTTTTAGGATAAACGTTGTAGGTTGCTAATACCTTCCTTATACGTAACCGATTCCCAAACCCAAATCCGGTTTTCATAAAACTTGTCTTATCTTTATGATTTTTTTTCATTGTTTTCTTGAATAAATTGTGGTGACAACTCCAAAACTCTGATATTTTTTAATCCTAAAATTTTGGTCCATCATCTCGCCACAATTTCGGTTGCGACAATTGGATACTAACCTTGGTGCATGAGAGATCTAACGAGAATACGTTCTTTAATATATTTTTCTCAATCTATCTCGTTATATAAAGAACCTTATGGCTAAAGATAAAACCTTAATCCCTTTTAGTAACTAACGTCTATCGAGTTGGTTACACAGTAAAATTTTATTTTATTTTATATTTATTTTATTATGACTTTCCATAATAATCAATAGGTCCTTATATTTTATTAAGTCATATTTAGGCCCGTCATAATATTTCACATGTGTCACATAATTGAATTAATTTGTCAATTAATTCTAACATTCTCTGAACTCATGTGATGTCATACATTTTTTTATTTGATACATAAATCATAATGCACATTAAAGGATCTTACGTAAATTGGTTCCTTCATTATTCATAATTAAAGATACAAAAATAATAAGAGTCATGACGGTTGCACTTCATTCAATCAACATTTTCCCTTCCATGTACCATTGTACTATCCCTTTCTCATTAATATGACTTTACAATGCGAAGTCCATAATGGGTTCAAACATGCTATCATTTTAATTAATAATAACATTGTTTGTTTTCTTCATCATAATTTGCATGCATACAAATGAAGAAGAACATACAAATTTGAGAAATTTATACATTAAAGATATTAGAGTGACACATAAGCATTAATAATAACATTAACATTCAACATTCGCTAGTGAACATAATGTCCATATTCTCTACATGACCAGCAAAGCAAACAATTTGAACGGTAGTCCTTTTGTTAAAAGGTCATCAATCATAAGATCAATGCTAATATTTTCTATTGATACTTTACGCTTTTGAATTTCTTCTTTAACAACAAAGTATTTCAATTCCATATGCTTAACACCTTTGGAATACTTGTTGTTCTTAGAAAAGAAGACTGTTACGGAAATATCACAATAAGTTTTCAGTGGCTTGACAATGCTATCGATTACGCCAAGTCCTAAAATAAAATTTTGCAACCAATTAGCCTGAAATATGGCCTTGAAACATGCGACAAATTCAGCTTCCATGGTGGATGCATTAATGATAGACTGCTTCACACTTTTCCATGAAATCGCTCCTCCAACTAAAAGATACACATAACAAAATGTAGACTTTCATGTATGCATACAACCGAAAAAATTTGAATTTGTATATCCAATCACCTTAAGGTGATTAGATTTCTTATTAGTAAACAAGTGATTTTTTATTCCTTGTAAGTATCTTAAGACTTTCTTTACAACTTTCCAATGATCAAATACAAAATTACTCTGGTATCTACTCAACATACCAACCGCAAAGCTAATTTTTGGCCTCGTACATGTTTGAGCATACATCAAACTTCGAACAATAGATGTATAAGGGATATTTTCCATTTGTTTATGTTTGAAGTCATTCTTTGTACATTGCATGAGACTAAACTTGTCTCCTTTCTGTATTGGAATGAGAGATGCTGGACATTTATTCATTCTGAATCTCTCTAAAACTTTATTAATGTATGTTTTCTAAGACAAACCTAATAGTCCTTGTGACCTATCACAAAATATTTCTATTCTTATCACATAGTATTCCTCACCCATATCTTTCATTTCAAAATTGTTAGAGAGAAACTTTTTAGTCTCACTTAATAGACCAAGATCATTAGTTGCAAGCAAGATATTAACATATAGAACCAGAAATATAAACTTACTCCTATTGACCTTCAGATATATACACTGATCAATAGTGTTTTCCTTCAATTCAAGGACATAATAGTATCATTGAACTTAAGATACCATTGTTGAGAAACTTGTTTAAGTCCATATATTGATTTCTTAAGTTTACATGTCATGTGTTCCTTTCCTTCTTCAAATGAACCCCATTAGTTGGTCCATATAAACATTCTCCTCTAAATCCCCATGTAGATATTCATTGAGAGACGTGAAATTTGTTACAACAACGAGCTTGTATGGTGTCCTACACAGCTATAGAATTTTCAAAAAGTTTCTACAATATATTATTAGCCTTTCTATATTATCAAGGAGATAAAGCTCAATTGATTGAAGGATAGGTTCTAATCTTGTAAATGTTAATGTTTGAGCTACTTTTCTTTCTTTGGGAGGAATTTTGACTTTAAGTGTTTAGAAGCATTCTCAAAAGGAGTACCATCTTCTAGTCGTTCATAAGATGATTTGGTATACATCAATTGATATAAATGATCCACTATTCAATGTATGATAAGGATATACTAGTGGACCTTTGAGATGTTCGAACTAGCTTATAAGGATGAATTAAATACAAAATACATAATTTATTGTAACAAATCATTAAATACATAAAGTGAATTATTTTACCTATACATCAAAACATGTGCTGGTAATAATTTAAATTCTCTTAAAGTCTTTTATCATCTAGACCTTTTGAGTATAACACGTAAGCTAGATAACCTTTAAGGTTGAAAATCCTTCTTGTCGCATCTCATTTAAATCAAATCTTGTTGGAGATCAACACTATCAATTAGAATGATTCAATTATCATAATATAATCAATTTTATTTCATTATTTATACACAATTATATACAAAATTTATAGGGAGAATATTTCCCTAATTTTTAAGGATAAATTAGTGTATAGGTTTATACCTCCTTTGTATCTTTCCAAAATAAGAAATACATAACATATTTTTTGCATGGTATCATAGCTCGATCTGGACCATCCCTAACCTAGCGCAACCAACCATGGAAGAGAACAAGGTAGGAGGTTCGATGTAACACCCCTTTCGAGATGCCATGTGTAAATTTTTTTTTCCACAATTATTTTATCTCAAATAACACTTGATAAAAGATTTATCCTAAACCTCTTTATTCGTCAAAATAAATTTTTGTTCATCCAAACAACTAACTTAAACCATCAAAATGAGACTTAATATCAAATCTTTCCAGTGCAAACTCAAAATCACTACACTATTACATTATATTCAAAAGAACATTTTCAAATATCTTAAAAAAACTCCCAAAAAGCTTCCCCACGAGCTCATCACCACTAAGCTTCTCTAACAGTATATGCATCAACATCTATTCCCGCGTAATACAAGTCATATGATCATCGCAGGTGGAAACCAACACCACGAACATGCAAGGGTGAACAAAACATGTATCCCATCACATATCATGCATGTCATCATATAATTCTCCTAGCATTATCATAATGTAACAAAACTCATTCATAATATCCACAAATACATATTTTCAACACTACAACAATAACACTTTATCATATTACCACCAAGTAAAAATAGATGGTATAAAATTCTGTCATAGCCAACCCCCATACTTTTCTTGCGCACCAACGCCTCTTGGAAAAGTCCCTATCATATTATCACCAAGTAAAAACAAACGGTAGAAAATTCTCTCATAGCAAACCCCCATACTTTTCCTGTGCACCAACGCCTCTTGGAAAAGTCCTTATCATATTATCACCAAGTAAAAACAAATGGTATAAATTTCTCTCATAGCCAACCCCTACTCTTCTTGTGCACCAACGCCTCTTGGAAAAGTCCCTTCCCTTGCTTTCCATAGACTTACAAGCAACAACTCCACCCGCTCGACAAGCCTTAGATGGAGAACTCTTG